AATACGGCTGAAGTGCTTTCATCGATGTTAACTTTTTAATTTTATTTCTTTTTTTTGTTAAAAAAAAAAGAAGTTTTTTGTTAACTTAGATCGAAATAAAGCTATTGATTGATTGAATAATTAAAAAAATAATTTACCTATCATCTTCTTCATCTTCAATAGTATCATTTGTTGCCCATTGTGCATCATCATCCAAATCAACCATCATTTCAAGTAATTGAGGAACTTAATTATTCAACAAGAAAAAATCAATTAACTTTTCTTTATTTTATCTTACCAAGTCTATTCATATATTTTTTTGCTACTTTTCGAACCATTGCACTTGCTGTTTCTGATAAAGTAACAAGTACTTCAAGAGCTAAATGACGACGTGATTCTTCAAATTCATCTTTTTGTTGCATAGCCTATTTTATATAACAAAAAATAAGCTAATTGAAAAAAATAAAATCCTACGAACTTCAAGACATAAATTAAAAACATCATCAATAGCAGGTCGAAGATATTTCGCTGTATTTTCAGCAATATCAATTAATGCTTTAAGTACTGTATCATCATCTGAATTTGATAAACTATGTGTTATTGTCTAAAATAAAATATATTAAACAAAACTCCAAGATAAATAGAAAAGAACATACTGCAAGAAGATATGGTAAACAATCTCGATAGACATTAAGTAATTGTGTATTTTCTGAATTATGTTTAAGATAAGCAGCAAATGTTGTTGCTGCTGTATAACGAACTTTTGTATCTTGATCATTTAAACAATTTAAAAATATTTGATGTATAATTTGCATTAATTGTTCAGCTTGATTACCAAATACACCTGGGAATGATCTATGAAAATAAATGTTTTCGATCAATTATTTTCTCTCTAATAAAAAAAACTTACTCAAAAATAATTAAAGCAGATTCTTTCAATGAACTATGTACTGAATTAGCAGATTGAAAAAGAAAATCCATAACTTCAGGCCATTGTGATTGATCATTTTCATCTTTTAATTAGAAAATAAAAATGATTTTCTATTTTTTTTTTTTTGAAAATATAATCTACCCATTAAATTTTTCGCTAATTCTGCAACAACATAACAAATTTTCTTTCGAATATTTTCATCATCATCTAATTGAATTATTCGAGCAAGTAATTCTTTCTTCAAAATCATCTGTTGATCAGGGGAATATTTTGGCCAAAAATTTTCAAATTGTGTTTGAAATAAACGTCGAAGCATAACAGCAGCGGTTAATCGAATCTTAATTTAATGGAATTATTTTATACAAAATCTCCTTTTTTGTTTTGGTCAGTCTTACTGGTCCACTTATTGTTGTATTGCATAATGCAGACATAAGTAAGATGCCTTTTTTTTCATCAGGTATTTCTTGATAAATTGCCTAATAATACGAGAGAAAGTTTTTTGTATTTTACAAATTATAAATATTAACCTCAGCAGCAGTACGTTTTTCATTATCAGCTTCTAAACATCCTTGAAGTGTAGCAAGAAAGATTTGTTCTTCTTGTGGATTTGTATTCATTTTTTATTTTGGATGAAAAACAATAGAAGTAAGATGATTGAGAAGAGAAAAGATCTAAGATATAGATTGAAAAATCGAACAATAATATTAATAATAATAAAAATATGAAACGAATAATCTAAATAAATGAATAAATAGGCCACGCGAATGAATCCTAACAAAGATTTTCAATTAAAGAATCTAATTCTTTGTTTTTTCAAGTATTATTAACCAATCAATTCAATTACTTTCGGATTTCGTAAGAATTTTGAGTTTTGTATTATTAAACTATTTCAATGAATGAAATCAATAATTTATTAAAAAAGATTTCAATTATGTTATTATTTTTCGTATAGATTTGTTATATCAAAAGTTGATACGGACATTTTTGGATTATATTTGTATGACATCTGTTGGAATTTGACATTACTATTATATGGATAATAAATCAAAGATATTTGATTGTTTAGTATAGAATAGATTTTATAGTTTTATAATGACTTTAACTAATGAAATAATAACCTGTAATTTAATATCATATAGTAGATTTTTTATTATATTAGTAATAAATATCTAAAATATACTATATTTGATTATTATTAAAGATAACTTAGGAATGAACTAATTACACATACATATATATGATTTTTATCGATTCATGTTATAGAATATATCTGATTGTATAACGTTGCGGTGTTTCAATTCTTTTTTTTTTATTTATTTTCAACATATTATTATTGACTATGTAAATATTTTTGTTTTTTCACATGTACAAAATATGAAATAAATGACAAAGTTTTGCTTTAATAAAATGCTACTATTTTTGTAAAGAGCAGCAAAATTATCAATGAGTTTTTCGAAACCAATGTTAAAATGCGTAAATTACTCAACCTAATATCTGACATTGTGCTGCACGTGATTGTTTTAATCAGTTTCATATTGCTGAACATTTTCTTGCATGTATTGGATGAAACCAGTAAAGTCATAGTAGCAATGATAAGAGATTAATTTTCGGTGGTTGGGTTCAGTTCAATCTAGTGCTACCCTGATGACACCACTATTCAAAAAGACGCAAGTACTTACGTTACCATTTGAAAGGGTCATTTATTCTGCACGCACTCGTTATGCCTAATAATTATGACGACTGAAGTATAAATTCATTTTAGATATGACTCGATCAATTAGTAGTTTTTGTACTCGTTGGTTTTTACATAGTTATACAGTTGTTATTCATAATCATAGAGTATTGAGAAAGTGTGTAGTGTATATTTTCGTTATTAAAAAGCAAATTTAGTTTTAAATTTCGAGTTCGAAATAGAACTATTAACGCAAAATCTTTATTTCAAATAATAATTTTTCATCATCATCTAGCTAAGTGCGCCACTATTATGTAAAGATGAATTTAATATATTACATCATAATCTAAATTAGAATTAACTCTATAGGAAACATTTTAAACTTAATCTTTTTCTTGTCATGCATCCAAAGATTATAGATGCATAAAGCTGAAGTCAAGCTTTCAATACGAATGATTCATCAAGATTAGATTTTATTATTTCAAGGTAAATTCAACGACTCAAAAACATCTTGCACACTTGTTTCGATCTTAACAATTAAAAAATGAAGTAAATTTTAACTTCGCTCGATTATAAATAGTACTGCAACAGGACAGTAAATATGAGTATTAAATCTCTCTGAAACTAAGATAACTACTCATTAGATATTTATCCTACATGTAAGAATATTCTTTTGTATATATACTTCTAACGATTGAACATATTTTAGAAAATTGTAATTTACATACAAACTGAAAAATATCTAACATAATCTGCATGATAAGAACCGTATCCAATGTTCAGATGCAATATATTCTGTTGAACTAAAACTTTTCTTTATATAATACTTGAAACACTCAGAGGTATTTTCTTTTATATATTTAAAAAAAATCTTGAACTGTTGAGTTTTGATCAGTGATATAAAGTAAACATTGCTCAAATCAAATACATATATATCTGAAATACTTTACCACTGAACAGTAATTCAATTTAAATCAATGAACTATTTCAAGGAAACAAGAATTAAAAACGAGTTTATTTTGTGTTCTAACTATTTTTATATGGTATTGAAAATGATTGAGTTTACAATAATTTTTATTCGACTCATTGAAATCTCTTTAGCCTGAGGATAGCAGAAATATTCGTTTAACTTCTCACAAAAGAAATATCATTCGTATAGTAAAATCAACGTTTCAATAAAATACTTACAAAATTATTTTAATAACTTTTATTCAGTTACACACGTATACCAATTATTTTTTGAATATATTATTTACATATTCTTATCATATAGAAATATGTGAATAATGATATGACCTCGATTCAATGAGAATTCAAATTTTCTTGTCTTTTCATCGTTGAAAATTTTTCTTGAATAAAACAAAAAAAAAAGAAAAAAGAAAGAAATTATTAACCCATCCTGGTTTATTAATTAGTTGACATGATCTTAATTAGCAACGGTATACAGTTGAATATATGTATATATATGTATATAGATAATGAACACAAGACTCTGTACAAACTGTTCACTCTCTTTGTTTTTTGTTATTTTTCCATATATTTAAATGATAAATATTATCAAATAAATATTGTTGACAAAATTGAAATGAATTTGTTTTTTGTTAATATTATGTATACATAAGTTCAGCGGCACCAGATAATGATTTTGGTAAATAAAGAAAATTATCCAAATATGCAGCTAATTCTTCTACATTACATGAATTAGCTGTTGGTCGTCGTGT